TCATATCAATATATGCATAGTTATGCCTGTCGGTCTCTAAGTCTAGATTGAGTTGGTCGTGCTAAAATATATGTACATGCGGCTCAGAGATGCAATGAGATCGTGATTTAGGTATCGTGAATCATGTACCCACGACACGGGTGATAAGATTTCTACTGACTAGCAGCAGTCCTTCACTGCATGTCGTCAGGAGTAGATAATAGGGACCTATTATCTACTCCTGATATCGTGTAACAGTAATATTTATTTACATCTATCGTATCAAGATATTATATGATACATGCACGAGTAAGATGCCCAGGACTGTGCTCTTGACCTAAATAGGCTCAATTTACACACATCTAGAGGTTTGCTAAACCTATGCCGTCAATATTATGCCTGTACGTCATGGATTTATTAATTAGATTCATGTATGCACCCAAAAAGAGAACGACATAAACCTAGCAACAATTTGCCAAGGTATCATAGTGCTCAGTCTATTCTTGTACATGCACCACTAGCAATGTAACGGCTGTTGCATGGTGTCTTCCGTTATGAGGTACATAATTGCTCGTGTGACCTCTTGATCACCTCCCTGCTGGCCCACATTCTCGGCTGAGCAAGCAACAACACACTACATTGGTTGCTTCGTATTTGGCATTTTTCCAGTACAACCTGCAGCGGCAGATATATAATCATAATACTGCATGTTTATGCTTAAAATACTGCGCTTATGACTGAATTGAATTATTTAATTTGATTTACTATGGCGCAGCTAATGCAATCCTCATTGTTAGTTATAACTAGGAATTCACTACTTTGAATTCAGTCAGGCATACGTCCTGGGGGGTAAAGAATAACACTGTAGTTATGCTGCAGTTATGCTTTTTATACTGTTGCTTTTAAAACCTGTATCTTGACTGGTCTGTGTGACTGCGAGTGCCTATTATAACCAGAAAACCCTCTTATCTACAAGTAGTCGTATATATATATATACAAATGTACACATTGGCCAGGAGTATGCTGAACTTGTAATCAATATATGATATTATTGTGATTGTGAAGATCAGGATGAGAGACCAATTATAAATTAGGTAATTTAAGTTTTTCAGATTTTTTTAGTAAATTAAGTAATAATACAATGCGCAACTGTGTACAAAATGGGCATGTAGTAATCTAAAGTATATTAGTGACCTTCTGTTGACCCCTGTGACATCTCGGGAGAGTTCGGATGCGTGCAGGTGCACCACTCTAGCGTGTCGGTATTTGCATACTGATAAAAGGTGGGTCACTATAAAGTGAAAGTTCATCACAAAAGTTAGCATAGGCACTGATGTGCAGAATAAAAATAGTCTTGATCTAAAAAAACCTGTTCAGATTTATCAATCACGTGAGATGTGAGGCGGATGAAAAAACCACAGCCCACTGTAAAGCTAAAATACTGCTAATGCTGTCTGTGATTAGAACAGCACAAACATTGCACAGTGTCAGTGCACTGAGTATGCTACATGGTGTTGATATACATGTATCTATAGTTTACCAATTACCAACTTGCATGATTTAGGCATTAGTGACATAATTTAGAGCTCGTGTCATGATGTCACGATCATGATTATTAAAAAAGAACTAAAACACAATTTTTACTCAGATTTTTGATCATTACAAACATTAAATAATTTTACATTAAACATTTTATATGTCTCCCTTGAAACCATCGATAATTTTAGCCAGTCATTTAAATTGGGTTTCTTTTGACACTGTGGATATTCAATCGGTCATCAGAAACTTGCTTGGTTTTGATACTTGACTGAGCATTTAATATACAGCTTCATTTAAAAGTAAATCCATGAATATGGAAGCATTTCCTGTGAAATCAAGTAGAAATTTTACAATTACTAGTGTTCCCAAATGTTTATATCACACTATCCTAGATAGAGGGTTTGACGATGATATTGTGTGGTTTTTCCATAGCTATGCTTGTTTAGATGCTATTCTTTAAATGTTATTGATATGTTGTATAGGCGCGTGTAACAAATTATGTTCTTTTTGCAGGTCAAGCAACGACTGACACGCTACGCGTGGCACAGAAAGCTCGCTCCCGCGCTCTCGGTCCATTCCACCCCAGCTTTAAAATCACAAGGATCCTGCAAGATGGCTTACTGTACATTCTCCCCGACAACGCACATGAAATATGTGACAGACGATTGCACATCTCATTGACCCGAGTCTCAGATGGCAAGAACGTGGTGGTCAATAGATTTTCGAGCAAGGACGAGTTAATACAGGTGTGTGTATTCAGTCAATTTAAGTCGTCGTATAAGTGGCATCATGACTCACTGATACGCTGATAGGGTCTATGTCCCCCAGTCAGTGTACTGCCGGAACGTACCCTGGGTACGGTCCGGTATACCGGAATGTACCCTGGTCACTATTTCACATGGTTAGGGTTAGGGTTAGGTTTAGAGGTAGGGAGTAGGCGTAGGCGACTCCCTAGACTCGTTAGCGGAGTAGGCGAGGTACGGTCCAGCATATTAGATAGTATCAGGGTACGTTACGGTATACCGGACCGTACCCAGGGTATGTTCTGGCAGTACCCTGGGGGACATAGTCCCTCTCAGCCCCTGATACTTCTGTCAAGAAGTCTATATTTGTACATAGCCGGCATCTATTTGCTTCCAGTGTACGATAAAGATTGTTCATGCTAGTAAGTCAGTGAGTGAGACCTAGGGTACAGCACTGGGAATAATTATTATACTATCATACTTCATTTAAATACATTTCTCGAGTCTTGCCCACTAAGCAAAGCATCCATTGAACGATGGATTTATACCTGAATGTTTATCGTTGATCATTAATTAAAATACGAACATTATCAATGTGAAAAGGTGCTGGAAAGTTGTTTTTATTATACGTGCAAGTATGTGTATATATATGTACCAGAACATGCGCAAAGTAATTTTCTGTTGTGAGAACGTATTTCAATGTTTGTTTTGACTTTTCAGGCATTGATCTGTAGCTCGTTCGTCCCTGTATGGAGTGGTTTTGTGCCACCAAAGTATCGAGGAGTGGTAAATATACCGTTCTTATTTGTAAACAAATCTGGAGAATACAAAATACAAGGATTTTAACGCACGTTTTCCTGCATTTTCATATGATTTCTTTTTCTATACTCCTTCTATAATATATTGTACAGATTGCTGGATGTTCATATATTTATGAAGACGTATATTATTAAAACATTTAATCAATCTATTGAGTTGCTTAGTGTGCAAGAAAACAGACGTTATCCAAGTGTTTTCCAGAATATACATGTCGTCATGGTAGCAGTACCTGATGGTAGTGATAAGACATAGTGCGTGAGGTTAGTCTGAGCCAATATCTTACACTTTCTCTCTCTCAGCGTTACATTGATGGAGGATTGAGCAACAACATCCCTATTGTCAACGAGCACACAGTCACGGTGTGCCCCCTTGCGGGAGAGACTGACATCTGCCCAGATGACATGTCTAGTAGTTTCCTTCACTTGAACTTCGCACAGACTAGTGTGCAAATGACGACCGAGAATGTTTACAGGTGAATGGCATCGTACTCTACCTGCAGCTGAGAGGGTCTATGTCCCCCAGGGTACTGCCGGAACGTACCCTGGTACTATCTAATATATATATACCCTATACTATCTAATATGCCAGACCGTACCTCGCCTACTCCACTAACGAGTCTAGGGAGTCGCCTACGCCTACTCCCTATTCCCTAACCCTAACCCTAACCCTAACCATATCAAATAGTTACCAGGGTATGTTCCAGCAGTACCCTGGGGGACATAGACCCTATGAGCCTACCTGTGTGTGAACGCACAGTTAATCTATTTGACAAAAAGTCACGTATAAACTGTTTTAGCTTGACACCGGTGACCGATGGGGGGAGGTGGTTATATCGTTCAGATGGATAAGACAAGTACTCGATCTAGTAGATGCTTTATTTTGCTGCAGTGAATAGTGTTTCTGCATGACCATAAATGTATGAAATGGTGAAGCAGTCCAGAAATCAGTATTGTAGTCTACATGTAATTTTTGTGATGTGAACTGTTGTGTTAGGAAACGTAAATTGTGCTGGCACACTCACGGTTTTCGTCACATAAGAACAAGATGTTGTGCTTACAGATTGACACGGGCTTTCTTCCCCCCACATCCTGAGGTACTGAGTGCCTGGTGCAAGCAAGGCTTCGAAGATGCCCTGCACTTTCTACAGAAAACTAGTAAGTATAATTGCCCTGTGATGATTCTGGAAAGCATGTATGGCATTAGCTTTTTCTGTCATTCCTAACTGTTATATTTGTTGATTAACATCCAAGCGTCTGTCACTAGGTGATTTATTGTACAGCAATAGTATAGCGCATACAGTAAGTATACAGTATGAAATAATAAGAAAGGTAAGACCAGGGGGATGATTGATAACGATAATTAACGACAATTAATAACCTTGTGAATCATGATCGTTAACTAGTGTATTTGTATCTACTTTAGCTGGTGATATTATCAGGAGTAGATAATAGAAGATTCTATCTTCTATTATCTACTCCTGATATTATTATGGTATACGAATGTTAGTAGACTATGAATCATGAAGTATGCATCAAGTGCTGATAACAAGTGTTAATAAATCAATTGCTGATATGTCAGTTCTGTGAATCTTTGTTTGTACTTCTTCTGGTGATATTATTATGGTATACAAATGTTAGCAGACTATACGAACTATGAACTATGGATTAAATGCTGACAACAAGTTTTAGTAGTTCACTTCTTCTTCACTTATCTTCTTCTGGTATACGATATTATTAATGTTATGGCATACAAATGTTTGTTAACTACAAGCGTTAGTAGTACGTACACTTTTCTTCACTCATCTTCTTCAGGTATTATTATGACATTCCAATGTTTGTAAACTGCAAGCATTAGTAATTGTAAAATCCAATGTTCACTTGCTGATGCATCAGTTCTGCGCGCGTTTTCTTCCACGCAGACGTGATCAGCTGCACACGATGCCTCACCCTGCGCACAGTCATCCCCGTCTTCAGGGACACGACGGCAATCCGCCGCAGCTCGTCACAGACAACCAATCACGCTGGCTCGCACGCTGCCGAGCACAGCGCTCCGGTGGCGCCCTCTCATCCTCCCGATAATTGCGAAGACTGTCGCAATTTTAAACGGCACATATCGCAGACGAGTAAAGGCCTGCCAACGCACGTATCCTCTGGTAGGTGACCACTCTGAGCGGCAGTGTAGGCAAGTTATATTTGGAGGTTGTGAAATGACAAAAACAGATTAGATGTCACGGTCCTGCTGAGGAGCTAAAAAAAAGTCGACATCGCTTTTTGAGTGTGCAGGTACTCAGTAAACATGTTTTGCGACAGGCATAGTGGGACAACCCACAGCCTGTCGCAGTGAAATAACATGTAGCGAGCTGTTTACTTCAGAAAATAGTGTTTTTAATGTTTTTTACAATCTTTAAAGGCATACTAGGCCCAATGATTATGCAATGTTGACGAATGCTAGAGTAATTACTGGCACCTTGCGTAGTTAATAAGTACATAACCTTACATCCAAACGCGTATTAGTTTGTCCAATATCACTGCTGGTTACTAAGAAATGTCTGATTGAAATCCGCAGTCCAAGAAATCAGCTGTTTACAGTTTCAAACCGCTGCCGGCAAAGCGGGCGTGATACAGATTTATAGTGCCCCGGACATTTTCAACATAAGAATAAAATTTTAATAAAATTTATTAACGACATTTTAATAAAAAAATTATGCAAATTAGGTAGGGTTTGGCAATTATATAGCATATTATATAGACACGCAGAGAACAAACAGTCTGTGGTGACACACTCGTCTGGCTTGTTTTACAAGATTTCATTGACAATATCTTTAATGCAAAATTCCTGCTATGAACATGTTATGATTTATACTATTATTATTATGATATAATGATTTATGCTAAGAAACATCAAAGCGGCTATAGCGCCATCTACCGTCACAAATTGTGATTCATTTTGGTTTATAATTTTTTTCTAATTTATATATATGGCAATCGTTTCTATAATGTACGTCGATGGTTGCTCAATTAAAACTGACTTCTTCTCACTCACTCATTTGTGTCCTTTTTTGTGGTGAGCTACAGTGTCATTGACACTTTCATGTTTTGTGCTATTCGATATATCTGTACTGATAACACTGCTGCATGCTTGCTCATATCTGTTTTTCTGTTTGTACCAGCTTTGCAGGAGGGCATCGACTCACAGAAAGGTTTGATGGCTTACATCTTTAGGTTCAAGGCTGCAAAAGCACTCTCTATCATGTCCATTCCTATGCTCTTGCCGATCGACTTGGCGTATAGCATAACATGGAGGTTAGTTGTGGTGATACAAACGCATTTCTTCTTTATTATTATTATTATTATTATTAAATCTTTATTGCATGTAATTCAGATACAAATACATGTACTGACAACTTTCACTTTCATGGAGAAAAAATCTGATAAAAGCAATAGTGTTGAGTTAATTCAAGGCAATTTGCTGTAATGTGAAGTGTCAGACCTTTAGCTGCCTCATCGATTCGTTACTATCGTGGCCATTTACCTGGAGGTCAGCTGAAATCAAGCAATTTATTTTGTATTTGAATATAACCTGATATTGTTTGAAAAGAACAGTGATGGAATTTGTGCCAAAAAAAATACAAGTCGCTTCAAAAATCTAGAGTGAGAATGACAGCGCAGGTCAACGAAGATTTCACGAAAGCATCTGGCGACGAAACTATCGGAAAGATCGAGAAACCTGTAAAAACTAAATGCTGCACTGTTAGCACATTGTGTGGAATACAGGAGAGTTGTGCAGCTTGTCGATTATGTTCTAATGTCCACTTGTTTGCTTTCTTTCACGTGCAGGCTGGTGGAGTATGCTCCACACTTGAAGTCCGACTTCACGTGGTTTGTTGGGCAACTTGCCAGTCTTTTGCTAAAACTCATGAGCCGAATCAACAAGGGACGGCACAGCTACAGCGCCAGGTATTAAACTCTAGTCTTACAGCACTCCACTGCTAGTGATCCTAGGTGTCTGCTAGATTACAGTTACTTATGATGCAAATGCTTCTTCATACCGCAGTTCAGACTATTTTCGTTTTCATTTTCACAAGTAAGGCTAGCAGTGTGTGGCTAGAAAGAAAGTAATAACAAGCTTACAAAATATGATACAGAAGCAGTAGCAGCAGTAGATAAACTTGTGAAAAATATGTAGGTTTGGTAACTATTCCCTGCATCATCAAGATATTTCTAGGCTCTACTGCTGTAATGTAAATCATCGCAAACTTAAGGCAAAGTACGACCCCCCCCCCTTGTTAGTCGCTATGTAAATTACTGGCGATGCTCGTACGTCACGCTGTCCACCTGTTCTAATACAGGTAGGACCCGTTTTATGATGGTCCATTTTTACGACTTTCCACATTAACGGCCTTTTCAAAATTACCTAAAAA